TATGAACCACAAACACCCAGATCATAAGCTAACAGGACCTGAGTACTAAAACAACTTTTGTTTAATTATTACTAATAAATACTATAAAGTTCTACTAAATAACTTAGCTTGCTAATTAAACGCAAGGTCGCAAACAATATGTGGACACATTATATTTGATAACTATCTAATTTATTATGTTGTTTATAAACAGTAAACTAATTATATTTAGTTAGTATGAAGGACTTCCAATGTACAAGGTCTTATTGCTTAGCAATAATCATATAACATCAGTACTGGTATATTTTCAAAACATATGTAATGTATGTTTAGAAATATATTGTAATGTTGTTTTAAAAGTGATGCTAACATTTATGCGTGCTAAAAAATTAAAAATAATTTATATAATATTATTAAATTAAACAATTAAACTATATAATGATGTATTTAAAATTAAAGTCTTGATTAATTATAATTTATAAACTAAGTGTATCTATTTATAAATAAGTTTATTTATTATGTATATTATACACCATTGACTGTCAAAAGTGACAAAAAGTGTCATTTACTAATGTTAAAACATAGGCAAATGACACTCATTGTTACACTATGGAAATGTATGTTATAAACTGTACAGTACAGTATACTAATAGGTTTAATATGGTGGTGTAATATTTTTAATAAACATTTGAAATAATTTATAAAAATTATTTGCGTTGATAATTATGTCATTGAACATGGATGAGACAAAAATGGACACTGAAAATAGTGGTACGTTTATAGAAATAATAAAAACTGTTAAAAAATATAACATGCTAATAATGCCTTTTATTTATCCCTAACACAGAGTCAATTATAACAAGTTTTGAGCAAACATTTCAAATAATAACTAAGCTTGGTGAGGGTTCATTCGGTACAGTATATAAAGTATTGCACAAGGCTGATAAACAAATATACGCCATCAAGCAAATTAATTTTAAAGGTATTAAAATAAAAAATTAATTTATTATGTGCAATCCACTAATGTATGTAAAAATTTACTGTATTTAAAAATTAATAAAACCTTAACCCATACATACTATGCCTTAATTTACCCATGATACATTATTAATAGTACTTAACCCCTATTTAATATGTTCATTTTATTAATCCCATGTGAGCATACTTATTGAATGGCCCTTTAATATTTGATTTAATTAAAACTAATTTATATATTGAATATACTGTAGATTTTAATGACAAGGAAAAGGAGCGATGTCTAAATGAGGGCAAAAATTTAATAAAAGTACGTTCACCCTATGTAGTCGAATATTATAACTCATGGCTCGAACCCGGCTGCCTATACATTCAAATGGAGCTAGGTCTCAACAGTCTCATGGATATATTGCTCATTAAACCTACCATATTTACCAGAGACCCTGGTACTCCCATGAATATATTTGAATATTTTGTATCATGCGAGATTTTTCGCGAACTACTCGAGTGTGTCCAGTATTTGCACGAATTGGAGCCCCCGTTCATACACAGGGACTTAAAACCGGAAAATATATTGATTACTAATACGGGTGACCAGGATAGGTTCATTAAGTTATGTGATTTTGGTCTGGCTACTGTCCATGATAAGCGTATCCACTATAGGACTATACATAAACACTCAGCCGACGTTGGTGATATTAGATATATCGCGCCCGAAGTGTCGCAAGGTCAAAAGTATGGACATAAATGCGATATTTATAGTCTGGCTATAATTGGTGGGAAAATATTTGACATTGATATATTTACCTTGGACGTAACTAAGTAAGTTATATAAATATAAATTATTTGATCATACCACATAGAAATATTATATTTAAATCACAAAATTAACGTACTATGCTCAATTTTAGGAATGCCTATTCAAGTCCATTAAACATCCCGGTGCGACGCATTCAGGAAATATTTAATGAAATGTTTAGTAGCATCTGGACAAAACGTCCGGAGTGCAAGGACATTTTGCGAGAGTTCAACAATTGGTCAATTATGCCTGACACAATAACAAGTGATAATAATTTTACTGAGACTCTTGAAGTGCTACAATCTCATGAAAATTCATTTTTTCATGATATTTTATCTAGAAAATGTGCGTGATAAATTTTTGTGTTTTACTAATTTATGTTTTAACCAGATTTATTATTTATACAGGTAAAATTAAAATTAGAAATGATTACGTTGAAACAATTTCAATTGATCTTAAGGAATTTAAGAAACAAAATAGAATCTTACATGATCAAGATAAGTTATATGATTACAGTAATTTTTGTTATAAATGTCATTTAAATAGGGTTGAAAACAGTATAAATTATATAAATTATATTATATAAATTATATAATTTATACATAAATTACATCGAAAAAAATAAATTATATAAATTATATTTTGAAAAATAACATTATCAAGCTACATATTTAAAATATTTGTATAAATAACATGAATAGTTTACAAATTAGTTGAAGTTAGCATTATAATGTTTGAATAATTAAATTTTACGGTTATAATTAATTAAATCTACTTAAAATTAAATAAATTATATGCATTTACTATATTCTAAATTTGGTATATTTTCAATTATAAAATATATATTTCATAAATTATATGAAATTTATATAATTTA